CTTTCATAATCACATCCCACCATCTCCACTCACTACCTACTTTCATAATCACATCCCGCCATCCCCACTCACTATCTACTTTCATAATCACATCCCACCATCTCAAGTCATAATCCATTTTCCTAAAGCACACCACACCATCACCATTCATCATTCACCTACATTATACATCTTCTGGGGCTTCAATTTAGACCCAAGAACCACCTAAAACCAAGTCCATATGAGGGAGATATGCCCGTTTGAAGTTGGGCTTAATAGTAGATTTGGTTGACTCGGCCCAAAATAGCAGCAGCCCCGTTTTTCTTGGTTTTAGTTCGGTTGGGACACCCCATTAAGCCATTTTTTTATCCATTCAAGTGCACCCACTCATCCCTCAACCTCCCCACTCATCATCTACACATCCCACCATCTCCACTCATCATCCACTTTCATAATTACACTCCACCATCTCCATTTACCATCTACTTTCATGATCACATCCCATCATCCCCACTCACCATCCACTTTCATAATTACACCCCACCATCTCCACTCACTACCTACTTTCATAATCACATCCCGCCATCCCCACTCACTATCTACTTTCATAATCACATCCCACCATCTCAAGTCATAATCCATTTTCCTAAAGCACACCACACCATCACCATTCATCATTCACCTACATTATACATTGTCCCCCATTAACTCCACTTTGTCTTCAACCATTGCCCACTTGCATTGGCTATATAATGAGAGCTCTAGTCTTGAATTGAGAAGAGGATTTTAAAGAAGAGAAGGGTAGGGAGAGAATGCTAAAATTGTGTTAGAATTTGAGAGAAAAGAAGTCTTAAAAACAAGAGAGTTGTTTTGCCAAACTAGTGAAGTTACATAGCCTCTTACATCTCATCTCCCATTTTCAAAAATCACTCAAAGTCTTAACCAAAGAGAGGGTATTCTTGCCAAGAATAGAGTGATCATACACTTGTTCAAAACCGTCATTTTAAGCTCAAATTCCAAGCTTTTGAATTGAGGATTAAGATCATAACTCACAACCTTGAGGGTGATCAAGAGGAAGTTTGAAAATCAAGAAGTTCAATCTTTCTTTGCATGGTGAATTTTCAATTCTTTCATTTTTCTTGCATGTTTTATTTTATATTTATTTTCTTATGTTAGTTTCATATTATGTTCTATCTTATATTTATTTTCTTATTTTAGTTTCATATTATTTTTGTTGTAATCTTGCGTATTCTATCCCTTACTTATTTTCTTATTTTAGTTTTGTAGTAGTTGTGTTATTTGTTTTCTTATTTAGTTTCACATTAGCTTTGTTGTAATCTTGCATGTTCTATTTTATATTTGTTTTCTTGTTTTAAGTCCATGTTAGTGTTGTTGTAATCTTGCATGTTCTATCTTATATTTGTTTTCTTGTTTTAGGTTCATGTTAGTTTTATCGTAATCTTGCATATTCTATCCCATATTTATTTTCTTGTTTTAGTTTTGTAGTAGTTGTGTTCTTTGTTTTCTTATCTTAATTTCACAATCTTGCATGTTCTATTTTATATTTGTTTTATTGTTTTATTTTCATAGTAGTTGTGAAGTAATCTTGCATTTCCTAGGTTAAATTTATCATCTTATATTAGTTTCATATTAGTTTTGTTTTAATCTTACATGTTCTATCTTATATTTGTTTTCTTAATTTAGGTTCATGTTAGTTTTGTTATAATTTTGCACTCACTGCAGGAATTTTAACTTTTAGTGGCATTTAAAAAACGCCGTTGTAAGTGTTAAAAACGCCGTCAATTCTTTTTGTGACGCTTAGCCCCGAACGCCGAGGACGCGGCCGTCGCTATAACTTTATGACGTTTTAAAAACGTCGTGATATTAATATCCAACTAAACTCATGCTGACGTCATTGGCGACATTTAGTGACGTTTTTGGAAAAACGCCGTCATATCTTCTTGCATAAATTTGACCGTTAGTATGTAGGGTTTAAGAGGCGTTCGTAAAAACGCCGTCATATCCTCTTTTTTTTTTTTTTTTGAAATTAGGCTAATTTTATTTGATTGAACTAAAAAAATATAGATCATTCCAAATATAAATAACACCCAGCTCATTAACCCAAATTGTTTAATTCCATTTTATCCACATAATATAAACCATGTTACAATGCTTCCTCCAACAGTTATTTGAGGCCACCTTATAATCGTGTTGCACATCAGAAGAAGCCGCAAATTAACAGTTATTACAAACATGGTTTACATTTTTGCTGACATCCCAAAGGCCAAACATCTTGCCATTCGAATCAACACTGTTAGAACTGGAAGTGATCACAAAATTGTATATGGCTAATGATTGGTAAATGAAAACAAAGCCAAGGTCACCACAACTCTCCATTTGAAGAAGGTATTTCTTATTACCTCCTTGTACAACTGGGGGTACTTTTTGGAAAGGGAAGCACTGACATCCTGCCAAAGAACATATGTGATCATTCAGTCACATTTAGATTGGTTGCAAAAATAAATGACAAAAAAATGAAATGTGAAATAAAAATTGTGAAACACCCATAACCAACTTTATCCAAAAACAGTTTTGACTTTGATATAAACTATATACTTAACATTGTGAAATGTGAAACACCCATAACCAACTTTATCAACCTAATATTCTAAGCAGCAATGGTGCATATATAGCATGCCATGTACCTATAAAAATTCTAGTAGAAAACTATGGTGTTTATAAACTTTTCATTGCTTTTGTTTATAAAAACACAAATAATGAAATAAAAATTTTGAAAAATGACACTAGACTATGTTAAGATGGATGGATTAGGTTTTTTTAAATCAGTATTGCCTAGTGATATTTTCTTGAGTGTGGGACCAACCAATGTAAGTAATACATTTCAAAGCATTGAACTATATATTTGTCACAAGTACTATGAAAGACCAATGCCTTTCAGGTTTAATTTTTCCAAGGGTGTTTGTTTCCTGAGAAATTGTTGGGGAATTGGTTGCCAACAGGGGAGAATGGTTTGTTGGGGATTGCTTGACAAATAACTCATAGTTGCAAGGTTTGTAGAAAAGGCTTGCCAACCAAGTCTTATTCCAGATCCGACTAAACAGCACAATATATTTATATATAATAAACTACGGTTCAAAATATACATATTCTCCTTCTTTAGACGGTTAAAATTATTATCTTTGGTTGAAATATTCATATATATGATATATAATTATCCTTATATATGACATAATAAATATATAAAATTATATATTTTGTACGTGTCACCCACGTATCGTGTCCTACATTTTTTGAAAATTTACGTGTTATCATGTCCGTGTCATGTCTACGCTTCTTAGAAATATGAGAATGAAAGCACTCACCGGATTCTTCAAGAAAGAGCCCAATCAGACATGAGAATGGAAGCAGAGTTTCTGCATGAGCAAACCGCAGTCTTGCCTTTTCATAACAGCCAGGAGCATGTTCTTCTACAGTAACAGAAGGTATAAATTATGAGCCAAACACAAGATACCTTTATTTTTTTCCCTCAGCATTAGCCATGAAGACTGCAATTAAAGTTTATAACACAATTAAATTTATAGCATTAATAGCAAATAACCATAAACACAGTGGAAAATAATATGACAATAATAAGATTCAAAGAATTAATAAACTTATGAGACATTTAATATGAATTGTTATAGTTTATGTAACCTTCTTTAGCCATACATGGACTGAACAACATCCTCAAGCAATGGCACTCCCATCTGGTTGTTTAATGCATTACCATAACCCTTTAATATGAACAGCTCCAAAACACAATGGATCCCATGATATGTAAGTACCAAAGCTACATACCTCAGATGGAGTGAACAGAGCACACGCTTGATCAATTATATTCAATAAGGATGCTTCCTGCCAAATTGAAAATTTGAATGAACAATTACAAAGGAATTGCAATCAGATAGACTGTTTAGAATTCTTAGAGAAAGAAAATGAAAGAGAAGAAAGGAAAGGAAAGAAACAATCACCTGTTTGCACAAAAACCAGAGAGAAGATATATCTTGTCTTGTACAATGAACATTAAATGTAAATTCAGATAAGAATCTAGGCTCTATAATTGTTGGATAACCTTAGCAGGAATATATATATATATATATTGGAGACCTCCTAAGCCAGTGAGATCATCTGAGCCTGTGCAAGGAAGACGTATAAAAAGCGGGAAGAGGCATTCCGCTGGAGATAAAAGACTCAAAAGACTTGGTGGATGGCCAAAAAACTTGTTGCAAATTTTATCACCCAAAGTGACACTATCTGATTGCTTATCTGACAGGGATATTAAAAAAACGAGGAGAGATTTCAGACAACTCATAAAACAAAAACAGGTCTTCTTGGACTGTACCTACAAGGGAAAAGAAAGAAAACGCTACTTTTTTTAAAAACCACTAATAGCATTGGAAAGCTAAAAAAATTTCTTTTTTATCAGTTTAATACCTTTCTAACTACAACAAAAGCATATGCTAGCCCTTGAGCAATTCTAACTTCAATCTTGCACACAACTTGGAATAAAAACTTAGCATTGGCTAAGTGCAACTATAGTTGCATCTATGATATTGCAACAATAAACCACAGGTTGTCAGGCTATGGTAACATGACCCTACATCATGAATGATATGCCATTCAGTTTTTTTAAGGCTGCAAAGGATGGTGTGGCCACAAGCCTCTTGCTTTGCTCAGTTTGCTTTCTTAATATTGAAGCTTTTCTTCTTTATCTTCATTTCAATATACTAAAACTTGTAGTAGCTTTTCTTCTCTAGTTTGCTTTCTTCTTGCTTTGTGGTAGGTGTCCATTTTTTAAGACTTGTTATATCCATAGCTTACCCAATACACCAACAGCATATGAAGCAAGCCCTCTATCACATAAAAGAAAAAAATGTAATTTAGAAGTCAATGAAAGAAGTGATGGAGATAAAAAGGTGAATGGATAAATCATGTTCTTAAAAATAATAAATAAATAAAAAACTATAATGTGAGACGATTTAAGTTCATGTAAGCAAGATCTAAAGCCAATGAATCACTTTTATTAATAATAGGTTCATTTAACTGGAAACAAAAAATCAGGAACTAAGCCAACCGTGGTTCAAATTATATAAGATAAACATAATCTTGGCCATTTATGTCCAAACAATATATTTATTCTGTCAAAAAAAATCACTTAAGTTATAACTTATGTGGCTCATGAGGTTAGCATATATGCAAAAGTGGATAACCAGTAAATCATATAAATAATAATTGGACGCAAGACATTTGATAATATAAGTTTTCCAAGAATAACGTGCAAACAAAAGGCAATATGCTGAGATATTTCTCCAAACTAAAAATCTAACATGTTCAGTATATGAAGCACCATTGTTATGTGGGGTCCATTTAAATAATTCTAAGAACATTGCAAAGACTTAAACATCGGGGTATAAAGCAATTTTAAGCAGATAAATAAATCAAATATAATTCTAAGATGCAAGATACGTTATAAATTAAGTAGCCTTTGTAAAGCTAACGCGCTACCAGCAGGTAATACGCTGAATATAACAGTCTTATTTCTCCATTCAACAATCTCTGCAGTCACCTTGTCATGCATGCATGTCGAACACTGAAATCATATTTATCTCTTTGTTTACATAGCTACTACATGGAATCTTACCCATAGTTTGCATTATTTCCTGTTGTTCCTAGACCCATTTCATGCATATTTGCCTTTCCAACAAAAATAACACCACAGCTACGTAACCTTGATACAGAAACTGCATCTTTTTTAATAGGGCGCACCTCATGAAACCACGTCGTTGCACCTGTTTGTCATAGAATACTGAGCTACATTTGTAAATTGAGTAAGAAAACTTCATGCAAATGAAAATTCAATTATATTTTACCCTTTGATGGATGAGGATAGCAGTCTATATCATCCTTGATAGCCATGAAAATCCCATCCAAGATTGACAGTGGGTGTCCTGCACAACCCACAACCATTGGGGAATTAACAACTAAATTCTAGCTCAGAAAACTTCCACACTCAAGAGCGGACAGTCAGATGTAAAATACACATTTAGTAACAGATCTGCTACTAACAATAGCAGATGTTCACCGTACTCTGCTTTATGGAGGAATCTTCTTGTACCCGGCTGACAAGAAAAACCCAAATGGGAAGTTGCGGTATGCCACCTTTAAGATTAACCAACTTGTTTTTGTTTCCATTTTTCAAAATTTTTTAAAACAAAAAACAGAAAAACAGAAGACATTACCAAATAGGCCCTGTTTCCACATGAGAAGTTACGCTTTTGGTAGGATAAATTAGATTTTTACCGTCTCCGCAAACACAATTCTTTCAAGTGATCCTTTTGAGAAGGCAGTACACCTTGAATTGCGGCAAGCCTGCAAGAATGTTCAGTTATTATCTGATATGTTGCTACATAATGTCTTGAAAGCATTTAAATTAGCCTACAAAAGACATATCATTTGACCCAACTCCATAATGTCTTGAAAGCATTTAAATTAGCCTACATGTTTTTCTTAGGCTTCGAAAAATGGAGAAAAACTCCCTACTTAAGCACTCCAAAACTACATAGGCATAGAAAACTGTTTATGTCAATGTGTTGAGTGTGAGTATTTTCTGAGACAAGTCAAGTAGCTAAGCTGTCCAAATTCTGAAAGCCCCGACAGAGTGTCCTCTTGCAAAAATTCAAAAAAAAAAGGGGACACGTTAGGTCGAGTGTCGGACACGTGTCTACCGCGTGTCCGACGCGTGTCCGTGTCCGACACGTGTCCGACACCCATACGCTGCCTCCAGAGACGTGTCCGTGCTTCATAGTCGGCGGTAAAATTGATCCGATCCAACCTATGAACAACCACAGTATTAAGGGGGGAAATTTGCAGGAATTAGGTTAAAAAAATAAAAGATGAGGGATTACAACGATTTAGGAGGCATATATGAAATTTCAGTGAGGACAAATTGAAAAGAAAATTTTAAAACTAAGTAAAAGTTGAAGTTTAAAAAAATTTAGAGAGGGCAGCTGCTCCCCTTAGTCCCATGGTGGATCTGCCTCCGACTATGGATCCATTTGGAGGTTGACATTCTGAGAATATCAACTCTATTTCATTTTGAAATGTGGTAGAAATTGTTCTCAACGATTTATCAAGAGGGCTACTAAATGGCCCCATCATATTAATTTGAAACCCCCACTTCTTTGGAACCCCATGACCAAAATTGATCCCCACCATTTTTTCCTAGAACACCCACCATAATCCCAATCTTACCCTTCTTTCTTAGACCTCCACCCCTACCATGACCGTCCTCTGGCAGCCTTCTTTCCATAAGCCTCTCCCTGCCACTTCTCCACCTCCGACAGTCGCTTCCCAGCTACCCCCCTCTAAATGCCTCTACAATATTTGTTGAATTTATTGGGATGGTTGTTTAGCAGTATCTATATCTAAATCTTACTGATGCAGCACTACAATGGTAAGCCTGACAAACCAAGACAGTGCTATTGTACTCTTATATATGACTCGACCTGAATGTGTGGAAAATCATAAAGCATGGAAAGAAGAGATAAATTCCCCAATGATTGAATGCAATGGGGTTGGAATTTATAGAACTAATGTGATCAAAAACTCAAAATGTACATATTCAACTCCACGAGACATCCAAATCAAACACCAGTTTCGAGCTAGAGAGAAACTACAGCCAAACTAATAGCATGTAAAAATGCAGTCAAACGAAAGGACAATTTGTCGACATGAACAAACCGAGAAGAGAGAGAGAGAGAGAGTACCGATTAAAGTTCAGAAACAAAGTAGACTATTCACCGCCATTGGAGCTTGAAATACGAGTAATCGAGGGGTCAGAGTTCAGATCTGAGCTTCTGGAAATCACTGAATCTCTGTAAATGAGATGGTGGAGCTCGTTACCTCGCCTGTGCAGCTTCAAAATCGCTTCGGTGTAGCTTCGATCTGAATCTTCGATGGAGATTCGAAATCGCTTTGATCTGAGTCTTTGATGGAGCTCAAAATCGCTTCGATCTGAATCTTCGATGGAGCTCGAAATCGCTTCGATCTGAGTCTTCGATCTGAGTCTTGGAAATCACTGAGAGAGAGAGATGTGTGGCTTCAATCTTCAAAATGTTGAGAGATGTGTGGCTTCAATCTTCGATCTGAATTTATAGAACTAACCATTTTGAAGATGGTTTGTAAGAATACGCTTCGATCTGAATGTTGAGAGAGATAGATCTGAATCTTCGTTTTGTGTAATATGCTGTAATATGCTTAGAGAGGGTTCTGATTCAAAATAAAGTTTCACAAAACGAGGCCCGTGCGGCTACCGCATTTGGAGGCGTTTCCTATTATAAAACGGTGCCGTTTTGTGTAATAGAATATGCGGCGTTTATAAAACGCCGTTAAATGTTAATAACAGTGACGTTTAAAAAAACGTCGTTAAAAAAACGCCACCATAACCCTTTTTTCCTGTAGTGACTTTCTATTTTTGTTTCCTTGTTTTAATCTAACCGGTGGTAGTTAGTCAAGCCAGCTACATATTTCTTGTTTGTTCATTTTCTTGGTTTTGCAACAAGACAGGTTTTGCTAGGCCCAGTTGGCCGGCCGGTCTATTTGGTCGGCCGGTTAGCTTCTTTTGGACATGACGGTATTGTCTTCCGATGTTTAACCAACTTCTGGTGGTTTCCAAGGCACATGAAGCTTTTTCTTTTATTTATTTTATTTTGAGTGTTTTGTGAGGTTTTTTATTTTTTATTTTGTTGTAATATTCTCCTCATCCCTCTCTAATTTGGTATGTAATTATTCTTTCAAGTGTTGTAATAATTCCCCACCCCGCTTCTTTCTATACCGTTCTTTTACTCACCTTCTTCATTTTTGAATATGCATCATATTTTGTTTTTCGTTATATCCATGCTTTGCATCCATGTTTCATACATCTTGATTCGGCTAAGTTTGCATTTGTGGATTTAATCAATTCCTATGTGATTATGTGCGCTACCTAATGCTCTTGAGATGATTCACATGTCATATCTTAGAAGGCGAATCTTTAATTGCATCTCATGAGTGAATTGCATTAGGATTTTGTATATAAGATCATGCATGTTTTACTAACTTTGTTTTGTGACTCGTTCGCAGGACGTCAAACCTGTAAGTTTTTATGCTTTAACATCCCTTTTGTGTATGTTTTTCTTACTATGTTTAGCATTCTACCATGAGGCTATTTACTTATGTGATATAACTCTATGAATGCTAGTGGATGGAGGTTGTGTTGCTTAATTTGGAATGATGTTGATTTTCATGTTGGTAAACTCAATTTATTTGGGTTGTACATCTTCAAAACTCTTTCAAAACTACATGAAATCAAGTTGTTCCAAAGTAGGTGACATAGTCTGTACTTATATGCTTCACATAGTAAATTTTCGGATTATTAAATAATTAGAACATGAACATATAAAGAAACTAAAATTCATATCATGGTTAGTAAAGGCCGATCTTTTGATCGGGTGGGCGGGGGGTGCTCAATTAATAACCTTCCCCTCTCATACCTAAGGTTCCGAACCGAGACAACTTTGGTTACGACGAACAGTGGCCTTGGCATGAGTCATGGGTTTCCTAATTTTCCCAAAATAAATATTAGGTGGCGACTCTGAGATCTGATGACGCAGTCCATTTCTGGCAAAAGGTTTTGCAATAAAATGAATTTCAATAAAGTTGCCAAATCTAGACTCTCATCTATGTTTCACATTGCACTCGTGAGACTAGATCAAAGAGATCTCAGGAGTCTGAACTGTTTAACACGTGCGGGTACCCCTAGGCATGTTACAGATATCCTGCTTCCAGAATACAACGATCACCCCACACAGAAATTACTTAACTTTCTGTATGTACAACAAATCAATTTTTGCCATGCGTTTTTTTTTATATACTTAACTAGACATAATATATGAATCCTAAAACAAACCTTAATTTATGTATAAATACTATACCGTTTGGTATATGTAGACACCCCATTTTTGACCGTCCTCGAGACTTAGATGTCATCGTTTGAACACTCGATGATCATCCATGCTCGTGTTCGTTTTGAGTTCCTGAAGGTCTCGGCTGTGCGTCTTGCCTTGGAGCCTCTCAACTTGTCTGTTTTGTGCTTGGTTGTGGACCAAGGGCTTGTGGCTTTCTTTCTGAGGGAAGAGGGTGGCCCGCTGGCCAGCCCTATAACCCATCGGCCAGCCCGTTCCCATCGGTCGTGCCTTCTTTCCATCGGCCATAAGTGGTGGCCGATCGGCAGCTTTGATGGCCGGTTGGCCATATTTTTTGGTCGAGGCCCTTTTCTTTGCTTTTGTAGATATTTTGTTGCCAGCTGTGCCAGCTGGTGAGCACAGAATGCATCCTTTATACACGTGTGTGGAGGGATTGCACCAAGCTTCTAGCTTGTCCAACAAGCATGAGACTTGGATTTCTATATAAGGGGAGGCTCATCTCCCCTTTCAGAAGTTCAGAATTTTGGATTAGGGCTAAACATATCCTTCTCTCTCTATATTTGTACTAGTTTGTGCCTTAAAGTGTATTTTCTCTTCACTTTTGCACTACAACACCTAGTAAAGCACCATCACTTTGTTACTGAGGTGCTTGAGGATCTTGTTTGGAGCCTAAAAGTTGGTTTTTGCCTCAGAGGTTGCTGGTTTTGAAGTTGGTCTTCAAGGGTGAGCAGTTACCCTCTTTAAGCTTTGTTTTGCTTAAGTGTTTAGCCATCTTTGCATGCTTCTTTTGGCTTAGCTTTCAACTACAAAAACCTTTTTTTTTTAGTGCTTAAAATGGTTGTTTGAGGCCTCTTCGGTGTTGAGGGTGTTCTACCCTCTTGTGTGCCTTATTAGCTTGAGCTTGGTGCCATCTTTTAAAGCCTTTGAGGCAATCTTTATTTGGCCTTTTAACCACTAAAATCCAATGGATTTTCAATGGTAGATTGTGGTTTCGAGGTCCAAAATGAGAGGGGGTGGTCCCCTCTCCTCTTGTCTTGTT